GGATGATTCGCTGTCATTTAGAATTCAAGTCATTTGCAAATGACTCATGACTCAATGACCAAGGTCATTTTGACATGGCTTCGGGTCATTTGAAAATTAGTCAAATGACCTGGTCATTTTCCATCACTGTTTGAAAGTGATACCTCAAGGAAGTATTGTACATACTGAATAGATTTTGACAAAAAAAAGGACGGCAAATAAAATTTTTTATTCATTAGTTTAGATTATAATAACGCGATACATGCAAGAAAAAAAAAAATAAATCTGTAAAAGATTCCCCCACAGAAAAAGGAAAAAAATTTTTTTCATCATTTTTGTTCACAAAAAAATTCCTCCTTATGTTCCTTAAAGAATTGCTCTACAGTTTTTTGTGTATATTTTTCAATTTCAATAAAATTAGGACTAACAAATTTCAACTTATCCTCTTTAATTAATGAAAGCAAATGAAACGTTCCGTCCGATTCAATGGGAGATTTAATATATTTTTTAATATGATCTTCTTTAATATGTTCAATATCCTCCGATGGTTTATAGGATAAATTATGATGAAGAGTTGCAGATAGTCGTTCAGCCAATTTTTTTCCGTCGAATAATTCTGAACCCGTGAGTGTGTTTGTTTTATTGAAAAAATTCTCAGATTTGTCGAGAATATGTGCTGATGCTTTACCAACATCTTCAACTGCAACAGGTGCAAACTTTTTTTTTTTTTTTTAAAAAAAAACAAAAAAAAGAATTACATTAAAACGAAAATTTAAATTTAAACAAATGAATTTGAGCAATTTACCTGACCATTTCCGATGGGCAGATCCAAAATACCTTTCTTGATACAATCTTTAAATGACAGCAAATAATGATCATAAAATCCAACTCTCAAGATCGACCTTCCGATATAACAAAATAATAATTAGATTATAAGGAAAAAAATAGATATTAATGAATTAATTATTATTACCAATGACGATGGATGTGAGCTTCTTTTTGAGCTTTAGGTCCTCCTTCAACAGGATGACATTCTTTATCAGCATATTCCTGAAGTTGATGTTCAATTTCTTTAAATTTTTTACCATAATAATCATCTCTCTCATCGGCATTAATCACTGACTGTAACAAGACGAATGGAACTCTATGTTTCACAGCAGAATCGATGTAAAGCTTAGCAGCATCCAATCTTTCTGGAGATAAAATAATTTGAAGTTTTACAACATCATTAAACGTAACATGATTTGGATCATCAATAACGAATACTTGGGCTCCAATTTGTTTTAATTTTTGACGAACTTCTTCTGAGGAATTAGGTGAAACACCAGCGGTCACATGAGTACGATTTGATTTCGTTGATTCGAATAATGCTTTAACTGTTGCAACGCCTGTTGGTCGATCTGCTTCAAGGACACAAATCGATTCTTTTGCCATTTTGAAAATATATTATTTTTTTTTTTTTGGGAAAAAATTATAAAGGGGACTCCATTTATCAAACCTTATTTATGAAATTCCTTTTAAAAAAAAAATGAATAATAATGAGGTAATCTTGATAATTTTCATGTGAATTTTCTATCGACTATAATTATTATCAAATTAATTAATTTTCCGTGGAAATTTGACGGATTTTGGATCCGAATATGTTATATAATAAGAAGTTAGGATCTCGTGAAATCACAATCGCAGATAAATGATATAATTAAAAGTAGCATGTTAAATTCATAACTAGTATTTACTAAGAATGTAAGCATTGTTTATTATATTAGCAAAACTTTATTGATTCATACCGAACTCCACTAAACATATACAGGATATACCATTGAAAAGCCAAGCCCATCAGAAAATTATTTAGTACATTACAATGGGGTTCTGGACTTTCATTTCTAATCTATATTAACCAAATTAGAAACAGTTCATTATCCAAACTAAATTTCAGGAAGTTCAAGTGAATATTTCCAACGAAAACTTTGTAAATTTCGTCAACAAAAATTTATCACATCGGAACATTTTTACCAGTTGAATTTGTTCCTGAATTCTAAGTCAGGCAATGGGCTTAATAATTTTTTGTTCTGAAAGAAAAGATAAGAAGTATTGTAGTTCAATAGTTCATACTAGGGATGTTAAATGATTTTAGAGATTACGAGTTATAGAAAAGTCTAATCGTTTATCTTTAATAAGTAACTCTTGATAAAAAATTGTTATAATAAATTTTATGAATAACTTTTAAAAGAAATATGAACTTTGAAATCGACAATTTTCATGGAACCTTAGGACCGAGTCCTAAGTTTCAAAAATTTAAGATTCTGGATTTCCGCATAAGTTTAAAATAAAATCTTCTCTAGGACTGCCAAATTTATTGGGACTTTAGGACCGTTTAGGACCGTTTAGAGAACTTCCACAAAAATGCAAAATCGACAATAATTTTTTTTTCATGATATTGAAATAAAAATGATATAAACATTAAATGTATAATTTTATACTAAAAAAGAGAAAAAGAAATTTTTAAAAATCATACAATTCTGATTCATTGTAATATTATTTCTTGTTTATATTCTATTTTGTTGTCTTCTCATGATCATGTCCATCAGAATTAGCATCACGAATCCTTTTTTTTTAAAAAAAAAAAAAATTAGTAAAGCCTCTTCAAAAAAAAAAAAAAAAAAAAAAAAAAAACTTACAATCTCAAGAAAGCTTCTTCTAAAGACTTTTGACTAATGCCCCAAGCTTTAAGCAATTTCTTTTCGGGTTCAACATCACTTTTTTCCTCATTTTCTTCAAGCCAGTCGATTAAAGTAGGTAATTTAGGTAAAGCGGAATTTGGTAATTCATATAATAAAGATCCAGCCGAATCATCTTCTAAAGTAGCTTCGGGAATTATATTTTCCATCCATCGTTTTAATCTCGCGCTATCTTCAATTCTCGTTACTAAGGATACCCTGTAACCACCACCAAATTTACTCTTTATTCTTATCGAATTTCCAAGCGCGCGGAGGCTCCCATGAGCCATAATGCAAATTCGATCACCGAGAACGTCCGCTTCCTCCATAGAGTGAGTTGTGAGAATAATTACACGTCCACGCTTGAATTTTTCAATAAAACTCCATACGTAACGACGATTTACGGGGTCCATACCTTTATAGTTAATATGATAATTAAATAAATCATGACAAAAAAAAAAAGTTTATTTTATCTACCCTAAACTTACCAGTTGTGGGTTCGTCCAAGAAGAGAATCTTAGGATCGCCAATTGTAGCAATGATCATGCTTAAACGACGTTTCATACCACCGCTAAACCCACCAGCTAGTTTATCGGCCACCTTTGTAAGCCTTACACTTGCTAAACGTTCATCGACCAATTTTTGAATTTCTTCGACAGGAATATTTTTGATACCAGCGTATAATTCGATATGTTCCCTCGCAGTTAAATCATTGAATAAAATATCATGTTGAGGACAAACTCCCATCATAGTACGAATTTTACCAATGTCATCTTTAACACTACATCCATAAATAAGTGCATCACCCGAAGTGGCCCTTGCGGCGCCAGAGATGATATTAATCGTCGTACTTTTACCAGCACCATTTTGTCCAAGAAGTGCTAAACACTTTGATTCTTTTAATGTTAAGCATAAATCCTTGACAGCAACTTTATCTAATTTACTTTTAAAAAAGATTGATTGTTTATAAACTTTTCTTAAATTACAAATACGTAAAGCCGCATCATGTTCGGGATTAAAAGCTGAAATACGTTCTTTTGCAATATCCTGATCCTCATCTTCAACCCCTGAATATTCATTACGATTTAACCACCTTTGCAAATCAAAATCACTCCTCAATTTAATTCCATAATAACTTGGCGTTAAAAAGAATAAAGGACTTTTTCTATTACCATATTCATCGGGAATTACTTTATCAAAATACCAAGTTAGAATAGCGTAAAATGCTATATTCATTAATAAGAAGTACCAAGATTGAATCGGAGCTGGTACGTCAGGTTTAAGATCCAAGTGTTCTGTGTTATAGCTTGGTAAGAATTTATCATCAACTTTTTCATATAAATTTTTCCACTTAAAACCAGATCCAGGAATTAATGTTTGGGTTAGAACATCAAGTTTTCCCGAAGATAAATTCGAAATATCCAAGAAAATTTTGCCAAAATTGAAAAATGGAACAAACATTAATACGAGCCAACCGGCTTTATTCGTTCCAACATCCCACCAAATATATCCTACGAATTCGTTGGAGAATACAAAAGATTCAAAGAGCAACCCCGTGATAAATAGGAAGATACCAACTAAAACTGCAACACGAGAACGACGACAGAATGTCGTGATAAAGAATCCGAATGCAACCATTGCCAAACCAAAAAGAAGGAAAGTTATAAAAAGAACAGCAAAATTTGAATTCTTGAAAACGAAGAATCCAAATGCAAGACCACCTAAACAAGTTATTAAAGAGCAAATAACCATAAGCCACGCATTGGAGATGAAATAACTTAACCAGTACACTTCAACTTTTAATCCCATCATGACCAAACTATCTTTTAATTTAGCTTCTTTCTCAGCTACGATTGTATTAAGGACTGAAATAAAAATGATCATATTTGCACAAAAGAAGAACGTTGCCCCGAAACGTGAAATAATTTCATTACCAAGTTGTGTTGGAGGAACTTTTGGCCAATCTTTTAAATTGATATTAAATGTTGCAGGTGCTGGACTCGTTGCTGGTTCGCTTGATTCATAAGACACAATAGCTTCATCGATTCCACGTTGAAAAGCTAAAACTTGTTCGCTGAAAACATCAGAATTATTTGCCATTAAAGTACTATTAAGCCAAATTTGATAACGATAATTTTTTGGAGGACCTTCAACCGTAGTGAATTCGATTCCAAACATTGTAATATTTGGATTTTGCAAGGTGTAATCATAAATAAAATCGGAACTTGATACAGGAACCATTCCAAGGTTTGAACCTGGTACATTACTTATATCCAAAGAAACATTATCAAAAGGTAAAGGTATTCCCGTCCTTCTTTCATTGTTTGTGGAAAAAATCAATAAAATTTCACGATTTTCATCATTATCTGGAGTGAACATAAGATTAATACACGGGGAAGTTGCATCGCGTCCTTGACAAGGGTTAATTCCATTAAGTGAATAGGGCAAAGGGTGAAGGATTGATTGTAATCTTTGACGATTATCAGCTCGTTGTAAAATAAAAAGCAAAAACAAAAATAGAATGGGACCAACTACAATTTGAGCTAAAGTTGATTTATAATATCGAACCTAAAGGAAGATTTGAAAATTTTAAGTTTTCATAAGATCAAAAAGATTATATATTTGACTCAAAGCTTACTTGTAAAATAGCGTTCCTTTTTATCATAATCCATAATTGTTTAACAAATAAATGGAATGTTGATATATTTTTTGAATTTTTATCTGCTTTGTCAGTTAAAATAATATTAGCCGAATCTTCAGAAGTTGCAAATGAAGTTGAACTAACAGCTGCATTATTATAATCGCTGTATGGTGATGAATAATTTGCCATATCTTTATTATCGAATTCGTCCAGATTATTATCCGCTCATTAATTACACACTAATTATTAGTAATCTTAACAAGAAAATTTTTTTTTGTTAGTGAATAATTATTAAATAAGAATATAATCAAAGTTAAAAAGAATTTTTTTTTAATCGAAGACAAAATAAAAATAAAATTTAACCATCAAAATGAAATTTTCATTTTAAAATAAACCAAATAAATATATATTATAAATTACCAAATTAGAATTCCAAAATGACAAAACAGAGAAATTCCGGGGAGTAATTAAAATATTGTTACACTATATAATTTTAGCTAGCAAGTTTTTTGTCGATCGGAGCGGAGCCATAGATGTACCGAGTATTTTAATTTGTAGAATTTTCTGTAGCAACGAACGATTCTGTTTAAGAAGAAAATATGATTGATAACTTCTACAATGTTATTTCATTGCTCATCTTATTGCAAATTGAAATGATAAATATTTGAATGTCTTTATTTATACAAAACTAAATACAAAGAATTGATTTATGAAATTATCATTAAATCCAATTTTTTTTGCTTTTTCCTTTTCTTTTTCTTGTCAGTTTCTTCTACCTTCCCTTTACTAAGCCCAACATTCATAAATGAATTAAATAATTTGACCCTTTCCTTTTTCTTTTTGGATAAAACATTAAACTTTGTGCTGACCGCATATTCAGTATAATTAGTAAATTCTGCTGGCAATTCTGGAATTACATTTCTCTTGATGTACTCTTCTGGATTTTGTAAAAACACTTCCGGGTTCATCTTAAATTCTCTAACTAATAGATCACAAATAAGAATATTTATTATACTTTTAGGTTGTTCGTTTAAAGAATTAAAATCATTAGTATTTGTGTATTGAACAAGTTCATTAGTTGTAAAGGAATCATTTAAAGCCTTGAGTTGTTTTAGTTTAACTTGACCATTGATTCCTCTGGCAATTATTTGCTGAATTTGAAAATGAAGTTGTTGAAGTTTTGGTGTAGTATCTTGATCTTTTTGAGTAGATTGAGAAGAAGTGGCAACTGATTGATTAAGCTTTGGTGATTCTTCGACTTTATCGTCCTCTTCCTCGTCTTGGCGTTTAAATTCTTTTGATAACATACTTTTGGTAACATTATTTACTGATCCTAGAGGTCTAATATCTTCTTCTGATAACTTTTCTTTAACAAGGGTTTTTATTAAATTTTGAGTTCCGTCATCTAACGATTTATAATTACTCATCTGCGTATATCGAATTAAATCAACACTCTTCAAAGAATTACTAAAAGATTTAAGATGATGTAATTTAATATCGAGGGTTTTGTTTTGAGTAATAATTTGAGCATGAAACTCTTCAAGTTTAGAAATAGTTCCCTGATCTTCTTGATCATTTAAACCAACTTGTGAAGAAGGGGAGGAAAGGTTATTCGTAGAATATAAAGGAGAGTCATTTGCTGATTCATCGAGGATTGAATTCAATCTGTTCCAATCATATTCGTCTTCTTCAACGTTATCTCCCAAACTCGAACCTTCATATTCCCTTCTCGTACTCGTATCTTCAATTTCATCTAATATAGCGGTAACTCCTATAGATAATTTATTAACTTTAAGCAAATAATTAAAATCTCCTCGAAGTTTTTTAATATCTTGGTCTCTCTTGCTTGCATAAATTTCTAAATTTTCGATGCGAGTTATTAGATAATCTATTAACTCTGATTGATAATCTATTTGTTTTTGATACGTTTTACAAACATTTTCAAGGTCAGTTAGATTCTTTCCCAAAGTTTCGGTTTGTTTTTTATTACATTCTTGATATAATGTGTGTAATTGCAAGCTCATCTTATCCCCAAACTCTTCGAACCGTTTTGCTTGGCCTTCAATGAATTTATAAAGTGGGGAATTTTCATTTTGGTTAGAAATCTTTTGAGAAGGTACTGCGGTACCTTCCATTTAATTTTTTTTTTAGGAAAAAAAAGAAAAAAAAAATTTCACGATGATGAAAATTACGCCATTGAAATAAGGTTTGTTGTGATACAACGTAATGATTAGCGCCGCCTCCCACACCGAAAGCGATATTTAAATGAATGATTCCTTAATAAATTTTATGTGCAGAAAATCGGTGTTTGTACATTTTTTTTTGAAAATGAGAAATAAAAAAAACTTTTTATAGTTTAAATGGAAAGTTTTAAGGGGTAAATATAAATTTTCTTGATTAATGAAAAACTTGATAAACTCCTAAATTTGGCAAAAAATTTATTCTCCGAAGCGTAATAATGATTTCGAAAAGTATTCACATAATTTTGCTTGTCTATACATGATATCCAGATAAGAATCATTAAAATCATGAAGAATTTTTTTTTTTAGTTCTGGCATTTTATTATAAATATGTTATGTAAAGTAAAAAATAAAATAAATCATATACAGTATATAAACATAAGAAAAATCAACAGATTCTCATTAACTGAATTCTTTTCCGTCCATAACCAAAACCTCCTTTGCTAAATCTTCATTTATTTGCTCGTTAATTTTTCACTTTTCTTGCTTTTGAAACTTGACTAATTTACTAACTCTTGATTTTTGTTTTTTGGATAAAGAACAAAACATAATACTATTTTCATACTCTGCGTAACTATCGTATCCTGCTGGTAGTGGTGGAATCAAACCTCTTTTAGTGTATTCTTCTAGATTTTGTGAAAGCTTCAAATTTTGCACTATGAATTCTTTTTTTAATACGTCATAAATAATAATATTTACGAAATTTTTAATTTTTATACTTAAAGAATCGAAATATTGAGTTTTTGTATAAGGAATTAAAATTTTAAAATTAGAGGTCCTATATAAAAAATTGAAATCTCTTCTTTTAATACTTTCACCTTTAATTTTACTTTCGGCATTAATTTGCGCGTGAAGTTTTTCCAAGTTTGTAGTAATAACTTCATCTTCTGATGACATTTTGCGGATGTGACGATTTATCAAAATTTTAATTCTTTCATTTAGTAAATTAAAATTACTTGTTTTTGTATATTGAATCAAATCTGCGCTCGTTAAAGAATTATATTTAACAAAAGTACTAATATGTTTGAACTTAATCTTAATCCCAAGGGTTTCTTTTTGTGTGGCAATTTGTTGAAGTTTGAAATGAATCAGTTCAAGCTTGGAATCAGTTTCTTGATTTTCTTGATCAAATGAATTAATTTGTGAAGAGGAGGAAGAAAAGTTATAATACTTTGCGAAACATGAAAAGAGGCCATATTCTGATTCATCTGATTCATCATTGGTTGTTTTTGAAGGTTCCAAATTTTCGTTTTCTTTGGTAATGATTTGTGTGTGAGGTTGTTTTAACTTTGTAGTATTATTTTTATTTGATGACATTTCGTTGATTAGAAGATTTATCAATCTTTTAGCTCTGGTATTTAATAAATTAAAATTACTTGCTTTCGTATATTGAATTAAATCTGCGCTCGTAAAAAAATTTTTGTTAACAAAAGCTTTAATATGTTTTAACCTTATTTTATAACCAAGGATTTCTTTTTGCGTAATCATTTGTTGAATTTGGATATGAATCCACTCAAGTTTGGAAACAGTTTCTTGATTTTCAACATAAATTTGCTCATTTGTAATAATGTCTTCTTTTAATAACATCTCTTTGATGAGAAGATTTACCAATCTTTTATTTTCGTCATTTAGTAATTTAAAATTACTTTTTTTCGTATATTGAATTAAATCCGCGCTCGTAAAAGAATCTTTGTTAACCAAAGATTTAATATGGTTTAACCTAATTTTAATACCAAGAGTTTCTTTTTGTAAAACAAGTTGTTGAAATTGACGTTCAAATTTGGAAACCTTTTCTTGATTTTCTTGATCAAGTGAATTAATTTGTGAAGAGGAAGAAAGATTATAATTACTTGCGAAACATGAAGAGAAGTTATCATTATTTACCGATTCCTCATGGCTTAACTTTGAAGGTTTCAAATTCTCGTTTTCAAAATTATCCTCACAATACGTACTTTCATCCTTTATTCCAACATCTTCAATTTGGTTTAATAAAACATTCGATTTAAGAAAATTATTAAAATCTTCTTGAAGATTTCTAACATCTTGATCTTTTTTATTTGAACGAATTTCTAAATTTTCAATACGAATTATCAGATTATCTATTAATTCTGATTGATACTCAATTTGTTTTTGATATATCTTTCCAATTTTCTCAAATTCAATTAAATTATTTTTCAAAGTTTCATCTCGTTGCTTATTGAATTCTTGATATAATGTTTGTAATTGTAATTTAATTCGATTACCGAATTCTTCAAAACGGTTCGCTTGTATTTCAATTAGTTTATAAAGAGGATTGGACGTTAGTGGAATTTCATTTTCAGAAGAAATATTCTGAGGTATGTTATCTTGTATGTTCATTATTAAAGGTTATTAAGGGTTCAAATGTATTATAAAGAAAATAAAGAAAAAGGAAAAAAAATTACTCTTAAATATTATTTGTAATACATAATCGGAAAACAAAAATCGGTTGCAATCACATTCCTAATCACCCAATTTAACCCAATTAGATTAATATTCATCTGATAAAATATCTAATCTTTTCTAAATTTCGTTTTTTTTTTATTCCCACTTAAACATTTCTATTTTTCCTTTTTTTGTTTTTTTGTTTTTTCTAAAAAAAAGTTTTAATTTTCTTTAATAACTTAATTATATTAATTTTTCTTGACTTTTCGAAGAAATAATTTTCACTTTATTCGTGTTGTACAGTATTTCTAAGAAAAAAAAATTATTTGAGATAGATGATAAGTAATCTCATTAAAACAAATTTACAAAAAATTCCCACATCAACCGGTTTTACTTTCTACTTATCAATGCATCTACATGTGAATCATTCATTGTTTTAAATTCTTGAAATTCTTGGTTTATTTATAAAAATAAGAATTATGTATCTATGTGACGAATAGCCGTAAAACTGTTATTGATATTAATTTATCACAAGCAAGAATAGTTCTTAAATATCACATTAATATCTTTATAACAGAAATTCCAATTGAAATTCTTAAAACTATTATTAATAAAGTTATTGATTTTTAAGATTTTTAGTTAATATACATATGAATACTAATTAGTATAAATGTAATAGTTTATTATATTAAAGTCACGTGATATGTATAAATATTTACAATACTAATTGCAAAATTTGTGTAACATAATCAGCCAATCATATGAAAGTCCTCCTATGATATGGGAGCTGATCTATTAAAAGTGGGTTCCGAAACTATAAATTGATTTTGAGTAATTAATGATCAAAAAAATGTTACGCCAATAAAAAATTGCACTAAAAATATATATTGAGTCGATAAGGCAATACAATAATTTTATATTTATAACATTTATTATAATAATTATTTTTATAAATATTAAATTATTTTAAAAATAATGTAACTATAAAATATCTAAAATTTTGCTATTAAAATTATACTTCAAAGCGTTATTACACTATTAATATATGTCAATCAATTATTAATCATCTTTAAAATTTACGTTGATTATTTCTATAAATCTAATTTTAAATTTTTGATTTCATTATGCAGTAAAGATGCTATTCTAATCTACTAAAAATTAGTTTTAGTTAAACAAAACTAGTTTCAGTAGTTTCAGTTATTAATTAAACTAGTTTTAATATTTAACTAAACTGGTTTTAATTATTCTAAACTACAGAATTTTAGTTTTAGACAACAACACTATTATACAGAAATTTAAGCATTTTTGCTAACCTAATTGCTTACTTTATTATTAAGCTAATATCCTCTAAAAATCTAACTAAGATTCTGTAATTTGATTTGATATTTAAATATTTGATTTAAAAATTAAATCAAATACAAATTTAAATTAATGTTTGATTTGATTTGATCAAATTCAAATCAAGTATTCAAATATTTGATTTGATTTGAATTAATAGTAA